GTGTGTGTTGTTGTATGTGTGTGTGTGTGTGTGTGTGTGTGTGTGTGTGTGTGTGTGTGTGTGTGTGTGTGTGTGTGTGCATATGTGTATTTGTGTGTGTGTCTGTGTGTGTATATGAGTTGAGCGAACGTCTGTGTTCGCGTAAGCCACCTGTCCGGTATTGCTTAGTAAAAAAGAAATGATGAGTAACTTTATGAAATCATTTACCAAATTATAAATGAATCCACTCTCATCTCTCTTTCACCTCAACGACTCCACCATAGAATGAAACGCTTGGAATATGCATATCTGCCAGTCTTCCACTTTGACGTAAGTCAGTGTTGTCATGGAATTACGTTTTTCTAAATCTACTGCTGATCTCTATCTGTATGTGTATGTGTATGTGTGTATGTATGTATGTATGTATGTATGTATGTACGTACGTATGTGTATATGTGTGTGGTGTGCATCAATTGCAGTAGCGCAAAGGCTGTCGTTTAAATCTTAACTTCTTCCTACGTACCAGTGTGTCCTTCGGTGTATGTGGGCTTTGTGTATGTACACACATGCTTTGATGGTACGATACGTGATATGTGTATTTGTGTAAGTGATGTGTGCGTGTAAAGTGTGCACATGTGTATATGCATAAGTTTGTGGGTATTTTTGTCTACTGAAGGGTATTTTGTAAAGGGGAGAGAAGTCAGTCGGTTTTTTGTTCTCATTTCGAGGATTTTGTGCCTGGAAATTTCTGAGAGGAACTTTTAGACGCTGATAACTTATTAGGATGGACAGAATGTGGGAGCTTAGTAACTTACAGTCATTTCCTGTAAATGGTATTGATGTTACTGGACAGGATTTCTCTCCGGTCCTTAGTAGTCTGGTCTGAATTTGTGTCCATGTTTTGTGTCTTAATTACCGATACGATAGCAGGTTATCTAATCGCTAATTTTAGGAAAGAATGGGATAATATGACACCGCCCGGTGTATATCTTTTCCGCGATTCGTGTCAGGTTGGGATTATCCAGGTGTTTGTTAAAAGGAGATAGAATAGGTTTTGTATGGTAAACATTGTTCGCTGTCTCGACGTGATGGAATACGTCACCGGAAATTTGTCATTTTTATGGGTATTCGTATAGTGGAAAGGATGGGATAAAGGAATCTTGTACCGAACATCAAGTCTAGATGAGGTGAGAGACAGGAAGGGAGAGGAAGAAAGTGTATCTATCTCCGCTATTCCTCCTCTATCATATCTTTGGTGTCAGGTTCTTTGAGGGGTCGAGCGGTAGGGGTAAGTGTTGTCGGTGTGTATCGGAAGGTGCCATCCTATGTCTGTGTGTGTGTGTGTGTGTGTGTGTGTGCGTATGTGTATGTATGTATGTATGTGTATGTGTACATGTATTTTAGTTTTGTTAGACTTCGCTGTATGTATGTAAGTAGGAGGGGAAGAAAATGTCTGGGTCGGGTACGTCGTACCAGGTGGCGACGATTTTGCCGATGTTGGTGGGCGACGGCTTCAAGGAGGGGGCGACGTCGTCGATGGGTCATTTGCTGATGCTGTTGCCGGTGCCGGGCGCTGCCCCATCCGTCCTCGTTCCGTTCTTGGCGTGCCAGCCCCAAAAAATTTTAGGCATAAATGCAAAACTCAGCATGCTGCTCACATTTCCCACAACTGCCCTTCTGTTCTTCTCTTGGACTACATTTATCGTGTGTGTGTGTGTGTTGTGTGTGAATGTTGTGTATGAATGTTGTGTATGTATGTATGTATGTGTGTGTGTGTGTGTGTGTGTCGAATCACAGTGGCAGCATCTCATCAACCATCCGATAGTGCTTCGAGGTCCTCCCCTCCCCTCTCCGCTTCCCACTTGTCTCATTGTTTCCAATTTCGGTATGTTGGAAATCTCACGTCGACTGCTATCGTTGTAAGGTAGTAGCAGTAGTATATACGTCAATTACCTCTACAATGGAATATCCTGATGGGTGATAGTAAGATGAACAGGGAGGGGAGCGCTGTAAAGCCTCCCTGACAGTCAGAGCATTAGTAAGTACATCATTTTTTAAGTATTGAGAGGATAAAATTACGGATTCCCTGCAGATTGCGATTTTTCTTGCATGGTATTTGGCTAACTTCGTCAGCGCTTTTAACAGTAAAACCGATTTAGTCAATTAGATTTTGGCATCATGTCGATCCAATGAGAATTGCATATTCGGATAGTTTCTGTAAGAGTGTTGTAGTCGAAGTAATTGTCTGACTGGTTATCATTTTAATAGTGTGTGCAATGTCTGGCGTCAAATTTTTGGATTTCCCTTGATGTAGATTTGGCAAGCTTAAACATTTTGCTGTGTGTCATTTCTGCATACGTCGTATATGTGGATCGCGACATTATGCGTTGTTCGCCAGTGGTGCTTATATCTTTCCATGTTCCACGTTTCTGGCATTCTACGTCTTTTAGGTCATCCACGATATTTCATCGATCATACTTTTGTTCACCTCAACACTTCTAGTGTTGTTTACTGCAACTTCCCAGTTCAGAATTCCTCAGCTTCTTACTGTTTCACTTAATATTTCGTCCCCATCCAAAGAAAGCTTGCGACCTTTTCCCTGAGACCTCTGCTGCGACAGTACGTGGCGTCACAGCAAGAGCACCTCAGGGTCCAGGTCCTTTCGATCATATCAAATTTATCATATCAAATCTCCGGAAAGACAAGTAGTATCCGACCTGTACCAAGCTATATTCATTCTACTGCGAATGTTACTGAAACAGGTAGCTGTTTTTTCTTCATACTAATGCTTTTCTTACCATCTCTTATTATACTTTTAAATGAAATTTGTAGATCTTGAAGCGCCGCTTATTTGGCATTTGGGTTTCAACGGAACCGAAGAAATTCAGGTAATCAGGCCCTGCAAATGGCTTTTTGTAATTCTTTTGGAATTCTTTGGATTAGGAGTTGTCATCTTTGATGCTGTTGGTAAATTTACAGTGATTCGGAGGTCTTCAGGTTTCGCACACTTTGTTGATGGTTTTTGGTGGTTTGGGAAGTAAGAAATTGGATGAGATGGTGCTTCCCATACCTTGGTTGTTGCATTAGTCCTTTAAGCGATAAGGGACAACATTTAACGATCTCTACAGCAATTCCTTTGAATCTACGTATTTTTTTAGGAAACCGATTACATAGAAGCGGAAGTTGAAAGTACAGATACGGTAGAGCCTCATCTGGATGAACTCTTCGGTGAAAAGCTATTAATCGCGAAGTTTTGCTTGGCGGATACGCTAGATAAGCCAGCTCCTCGTTCTAACATGACGATTGTTGGTAGCGATGAAATAGTTGTTCCGCCAGGAATCGTACCAAATAAACAAGCCAAACGACATACACCAGTGGTACTGCGAAGTATGGGGAAGAATAATAGTAAAAAGCAACAATTGTTACAGTCAGTAAATGTTAAAATGAGCGACTCTTTCAAACGCCCTGATTCAGGATCATCGCAGCAGACATTTATTCTCGAAAATAGTCGTCGGCGGCCACTGGTTGCACGAGATCCATTTAAAATTGGTTTCGTCTTTAAGTGATTGTATGGGGTTTACAACAACTAAAAAACAAACTTTGTGGAAGGGCAGTGACCCTGTCTTTGTAGTTCTGTTACTCTTTTCGTCAAGTCCTCAATTTCTCAACAGTCTAAAGCCAGTGTTGGTTGTTTTAGACGATATTGTAAGATTCGAACAATCTAATCGTTTTCATTTCTTCCTCGCTAATAACAAACACGTCATACTAACAACATGAATTGGTCATATATGTTGGAAGCTAAATATACGTGACCTTTTTTCGGGTTCTCTATTCCGCAAATTAAAATTTATTCATGGCTTACATCAATGGTAATTAGGGAGTGATAGTGTTGCATCCTTATACATTTAATGTTTCATTTAATTGAGAGAAGTATGCTGTGTCAAAATGTCATAGATAAGTTAAATTCAAACTTATCTAATGAAACTAATAAATATGAAGCATGCTTTGGCAACTGAAATTTCGCACTGTTTCTTTTCATCACTTGTTGAGCAAAAGCCATTCACAATTGCAAAGGTTAGGTTAAATTTATTTAATTCTTCCACCAAAAGTAATATATATATATACATAAATATATATATATATATATGTATGTATATGTATATATAAACAACGATATATTTGACCTTATGCCTTGTACTATGTTTGCCTGTTTGCATTTTTCAGTATCCTGCTTGATATATTCGGTTTCTTGTCACGTTATCCGATATGTATTTCATAAGTCGATACGCTACTTTGAGTAATGTCAAATAAATCAGGAGGTGGCTGCCTAATGTTGAGTGGGTAAATCCAGGCGATCGCAGTTATTAAAACTTCGAATATGAGGGCGAAATGGAACAGTTTGTATTTTTGTTACCATGAAGTTAATACTATCATGATGGCGGGAGGAAGATGAGGGAGAGGAATTGTCAAGATATTTTGTGTATATGTGTGTGTGTTGGTGTGAAAACAATTTCCACAGTGTTCGAAGAAAGTACATATTTATTTCCTGGTTTTTTTTCCTTATGAAAGTAAAAGTAAAAAGTACAACTTCAGACGTATTCGTCCTTTCAGTTTTGAATTTAGGAAACAATATTCAGAAATAAACACCTGCGAGATGGTTTCTGCACGATTTCGTCGTCGTCTACAACAAAAAAAGAAAAATAAAACTTATTTCCTGTGGAGGTTAGTTAAATTTGTTGAAGGGAACTGAAAAAGGAAAAGAAAGAAAGTTGTCTTTTTCAAAAAATTTTTTCATTTTTCTTTGGGAGCAAAACATTTCAGTGATTTCTCTTACTTTTATTTCTTCTCCCTCTTTCATTTTTTCGACGCTTTTTTCTTCTACTCTTTTGTTTTTTTGCCAGAAACTCATTTTTCCAGCCACGATCTGTGGTTCTGTAGCTGTTGTATACGAGCATAAAAAAGGGGACAGGAAAATGAAAAAAAGGGTGAAGGGGAAAACTGTTTCTTCAGTAGTGCGCACAACACACACATACACACATCCATTCCATCCATAGACTTGTATGTCCATGTACGTAAATGAGCATCTAGTGTCTATTACAGATAAGTGTGACCCGTGAATGTATGTGTAGGATTTGTGTCTTTTGCCATCTAACAAATAGAAGTATTTTCTTTTATTCTTTGCATTTTTTCATTTATGTACACAATAAGCAAATAGATATTTTTTCTCGAAATTCCCGATCAGTTTTATTTTGCATTGGTAGTAATTGAGGAATGAGAAAGTGAATTGAAAAAGAAATTTGCCATTGATTGAAAATTTTGGTTGCGCAAGTTCGGAAATTTTTGGACATGTAAAATTTGTTGTTTCACTTCCATCTTTTTAGAAATGACAATTTGGTACGGAAATCTTAGCTTGTTATTGATAATGGAAGATAGGAAGTTGATTTGGAAAGAAATTTAATTTAAATTTGATGGGTGGAGTTGCTCCTGTGACATTTTTCTTTTCATCACTGTGATATATATATATATATATATATATATGTATATATTCGAATGTGTAATTCTCGCGTTTTTTCTATAATGTCTTGGAAAATAATTTACATTTGGTATATCGACAACAACTGTATGGTTGGTTATTGCAATCGGATGGGTGGATTACAGTAACCCAGTAGCGAAAAGGCAAATGCTGATGACGACGGGTAAGGACGGCGGAAAGGCGAAGGCGGGAGGACAAATTGGGTCAAGAAAGTAGAGCGAAGAGAAACAGAGATACTATGGCAACATCTTTTTTTCTCACATTTCTTTCACACAGTTTTTTTAACCTATCATTTTGAAAAGTTGGTGTCATGAGGTTGAATGCTAAAAAGAGTACTCATCATTTAACGTATCAATGTCTAATATCTAGGGAATAAATGAGTGTACTCTTTCTTTACTATCAGAATAGTAGTTTTATGATAGTTGAGGGTAATGTTGGATGGAGGTATAGCAAATTACCACTGTGGTATTTATAGGGTGGATGGTAGTCAGTAACATTTTCATTCGATGTAGTAGTAGTGTAGTAGTAGTATTAGTAATGATTGAGGCTAGACCAGACCAGACTAGTCTAGACAAGGCGAGACGAGACAAGACAAGAGAGGAGAGGAGAGGATAGGAGCAGTGGAAACTCCAGGAACTGCATGGCACCAAATTTTTTGCAATATCGTTTATTTGTTTGGGGAATGTGCAAAGAGGAAGTAAAGGAGTAAATTAAACAGAATATGCCATCCTTCCCGCTCTTCTCTTTCATCCTTTCCTCAACCCCCTCCCCTTCTCGTTTTTCATTTTCGGTTCTTATCTCCATATTTAGATTGAACTGTATCCCCGCAATATGCAATTCGATCTTGAAACTTTTTTTTTTTGCCATTTTAAACTACAAACTTTAATAGTAATTTCGAAATTCATTAATTAAATTGAAATGACAAAGTTTAAAGCTCATGTGGAACTACCTGCGGTTCTTTTATTGCTTACATTTCTTCTATTTTCTCTAATTTTTATGGTAGAAAAATGAATAACTGATTTGTTGCTCACTATTATTTAAAGAACTTCAAAATTTTCAAAGTTTGGACTGATAAACTAGAATGAAGGGGAGAAGCGCAGATTTCAAACATTATAAACGTGCAAGACATGATATTGCAAGAAATGGTACTGTCGGATTTTCACCTGTGTTCTAAATAGTGATATCAGGTTTGCAGGTTTCTTTCTTTTCCTAGGTACGTCAACTTTTATGCGACACTTTTCGTTGGCTTGAACTCTTATACATTGTTCGATCTAGACAAGAGGGAAAACATTGTTTTAAAGCGTAGACAGGCAGAAGTGGACGTGAAATGAACTGAAAGTAATGTTGTTAAAAACAAGTTTAATTTTCTGGAGCGAACTGTTTGCAAATTTTCACAAAAACACTAACCATTTGTTTTCAGAAGAGATTTTCGTCACCATTTTTCATCTTGGACAACTTTAGGTAGTTTTTCATTCCCGATGCAGTACGATTTTGCATAATATTTTCAAACTGCAACTGCTTGAATTGAAACCAGTGCCCAAAAATTCCAAAAACCCTGATGGAAATGTGTCAAAACCTTGTCAGCATCCAAGGACCTAATCATTAGCATTTCACTTCTTTTCAAAGATGGCTCTTTTATTGGTTTTACCTGTTAGTCGATGTGGAATTAAGAAAAAGACGGATTTTCCTGCAGTATCCATCAATATGTACTAAAATAAAATGTTAGAGAACATTCGGGAACCAACCCAGCCTAAAGCTTTTTTTCTGGTATTATGTGGCTTTTTTTCTGCAATTTCATTTTTCATTTTCTCATTAGGAGTAAAATCTTCATAAAGGCTGAAGGGCATGCGCAAAAATATGAGTTTATCTGATGTTATCGATCCGAAAAGATCCGGTCCGGTATTTGTGGTTATGAATTGATAACGCGGAGGAAAAATTCGTTCAGTTTGGGAATTGGGTGAAGATTTTCTAAATTCTAACTTTAACGAATTATGATTTGAAGTCTGTCCTACGAAAGAGTTTTGGCAACAATAGTGAAACTTGATTTCGAAAATTCTTGTGAATATTAGTTGAAAGGGATAAAATTCGTAACTTAAGGTAGTTGCAGATGAGAGAGGAAGTGTGGAACTTTGATGAGAGAGTTTGGGTCGACAGTGTCATCGTCAAAGTTTTGATGTGAAATTACAGGGAAGAGGAAGACGGTCAAATAGTTGTCTGTTAGGCTAATCGACGAAATCTCTTTTCTAATCATTTGCCTTCATCTCTTCGTATTCAGAGCTCTCTTCTTTCTTTTCATCGTTATTGAGAGGGAAAAAAATCACTGTGCATGCCATATAATGCTGTAGCTAGTAATCTACCGCGGTACAGCCTGATACGGGATGGTGTTGATGGGTACGGAGAGGTTTAGAAAAGGATTTTCATCAAGATGACGGGTATCAGGGACACATCCTGTCACCAATCAATACAAATTACAATTCCTTCCAGACAGGCCACATTCCAGCATACATCGACCAGTTCAATGGTGTCCTGATTATAAAACAACTGCAATAAAAAAGGGTGTCATTTGACCACATTTTGAGGAAGAGGGAATGCACATAACTTCAAAATTCAAATGAATCTCTTTCCTATCATGAAAGATTTCGACCGAAAAATCCAATTATGTTTCCTTTATTACCTTCTAAGAACTGATCTAAAATTGCTGTCTAGAGGATTTCGTGATACTAAAAAAATATATTTGATATAGCACTTCGTAACAGATGTGAATTTTTTTCTTTGCTATTGGGAAAAAGCCTGCAGTTAGCGAGAAATGCATTTTACTGAATGGCGGAGCATTGTTGTGAATGAAAGATGCATCAGTTTTTGGAATTACAATGAGAAACAAAACGGAATGGGATATGCTGGAAAATGTGATGGAGTTGGTTTTGATAAAGTTTCAAAACTTACACAAAAGATCAGAAATTAAAATAAAACGAAAAATATGTTTGAAATAATTTATTATGTAAATAAATGAATCAAATGAAGAAAGCAAATTAGCAGATAATTTGAGGGAATTGTCGATGATTATCGATGATTCCAATTTTGAAATAATAAATTATTCCTTCATTGTTTATTCTTCTAACAACTAAGGAGGCGTTTGTCGGTGAAGTGGAACAGAAGGTGAGAAGTTTAGGATGGCGGAGGAAGTAATTGATATTGTGGTGTATGGTGTGGTGGGAGAGAGGTATGATAATGTATAGGGGAGGTGTGGGGAAGAGGGGTAAAAAGAGTAGGGAAAATTTTGGGAAGCAGTACGAGAAGAGGAGAAAGTTAACTCTTCTCTTCCATTCTCCGATCTCTCTTATCCTACTTACCGTAATTTATTATCATACAACAGGAACACCGATACCGTTTATTAATGATTCATTTTCTCTGGGATGGTATCGTATACAATGGTAAATGTTTAGTAGTACACTAGGATTCGTGCATCAGTTACTACATCCTATTGATAAAAATTTTTTTTTCTATTTGGAAAGTATTCAAAATACGTATTACAATGTTAAATTTTGATGTTGGTTGAAGTAAAATAGTTCTGGAAAGCTTTCCGAAGATAAAGAAAGTTACAGTAGGAAAGAATGAGGTGGATACATTATTATTGTAGACACCATCATTTACAAATCCGGAAGATGTTTACAGGAAGGTACGCTAAACTGAACTTTTGTGGAATGATAATAATGAAGCTCATGAATTCCCTGTGAATTACTGATGATGATATTTGCTGCAATGATCAAAATCCGATTTATAAAGACACTTCGACAGATTTCCCTCTTAAAATCTTGCACTATTAATTCTAGAATATATTGATTACTATTAATTTAATGAAGATAAAAGGCCGTTCCGGTTATCGAAATATCGTTTTATTTCTTTTGCAATGGTACATTTTTTACTAACAAGAGAAATGCGTGAAATATTTGTTACGACAAATGACAAACAATTATTAATTTTAGAAATTTTAAATTTACCAAATATTATTGTTTAACGAATATAAGTTCAACAGTTCAACACAAAGAAGTTCAATACATTTCCTTCTTTTTTCTGGAACTTCATCGAGAATTTCAAAAATGGTACTGAACGACTTGAATTAATCATTAAATGCTTGAGACAAACATTAATGACAAATTAATAGAGCTAAGCGAAAACGAAAACTAAATGCAATCCAGAATAAGTACTTCAATGAGTTCTACAGCTTAAAATGATGAAATGAAATAAGGATGAATCTTTGGTTTATAGTCCTGGAATTCATTATCATTATCAGAGATGAAGAAGACCATCTTATGATATATATTATCAAGCAGCATACTGTGCAAATATTTGAGAAGTGTTAAAAGGATGATTGCTTGAAATGACTAAATCTTCCCAATTATGCAAATATCTTTCATAGAATGAGGAATTATAAAAGCATACAGTATTGATTATTTGTTCATTTCATTATTTCATATTTTTGTCTGAGGTAATTCACTTAAAAGTAATTTAGTCAACTGGAAATTTATTCACTGAAATGTTTTCTTTTTTTTTTTTATCCAGAAGACAACAAAGCAATTTATATGCCTAAGTCGAAGAAGAGGAAAGATGTCATCAAAGTATTGGTACCGGAAAAGCCAGCGGCAAATTTAACTTCTGCTATGCGAATGGAATTATATGCTACACCGGAATCTTTTGAAAATGCAACCTTTCAAGCATCTTCAAGTTATGTTGCCGTAAGTTCTTTCGAAGTCAAACGAAATTCATTTGATTATTGATACTAGTGAATTGATGGGATAATTAATTTAGTATCATGATGATGCTCTTTTGGAAGGATAATTTTTGAGATAACTTATAGTTGAAGATATAAAATATATGGGATTATAAACGTTATTAACCCTGAGCTTAATCCAACTTTTAAAACTACTTTGAAATTTATCTATTTATAAATCTCTTAGCATATTATTCTCGAAAATATATGAATTTTTTGCAAATATATTCGGTTTTTTGTGAATCCGGATTCCATAAAATATTCTGAATAATTGGAAGAGTTTTTCTTTGCCAAAATTATTCCCTTTAGAACCATTCATGAATTTGGAAGTTTGTTCTGCGCAAGTAATTAAGTTTCGTTATGAATACGAAAAACAACATTCATATCTGTACACTGTGATATTTTTTGGGGTCATTTATTTTTTCTGTGTAATAATTTCAAGGTGTTATTTTTAAGAATAAGTATGTCAAACCTAGGACCACTTTTACCAATACTACATCGATGTAGGAGGTAGTCCTGTTATTTTGTAGTGAATTCTGTAGGGCAATAATGTTATTGTCAATTTTGGACTTGTAGATTCAGATGGACACAGTGTACCTGTATGTTTCGAAATGTTTTTGCAGGGAAAAGCAACGAAAACAGAAATATCACAGAAAGTACCAAAGAAAGAGATATTGAAGAAGTCGGAAAAAGAGATCAGTAAGCGTAACGCCATGATAACGAAAGTCAATGATGTGCAATCTTACGATGCCGATGTGATTGGAACATATTCACAAAGTTCTGGAACAGTTTCCTACGATTCTATCAAATCAATGAATGAGAATTCACTAGAAAAAGCCAAGATTAACAGCAAATATGTAAGATCTATTCAGGAAACCATTCATTGATTCCGACATTACTACAGACAGATCCTAAGTAAAACGAAAATTCAATGGAATGCTTGAGACACAAATTATAATAATTATTGTATTTACATATCTTTATCTTACGTATGAATAAGAAACTTATATGAGGCTCTCAGTGATATTTTGATGAAGCTTTGATAAATGGTAATGATATAGTCAACTTTAATCTAATAATGTGAAGGTTTTGGAACTTTTAAAATAAATTTCCAAAATGCAAACTTACTTTATCAAGATACATGCATTTAAAATAGCAAAATCAATTTGCAGATGCAAAATACCAACCATAAATTGCATAAAATGGCTATAGAACAGTTGTTGGAAGATGATTCAAGCATAGCAAAGATGCGAGTTATTACTGATACTGAATTAAATCGTCGGATTACCGGACAGGAAGTGCCACCCGAGAATCAGCAAGCGATTCCAACTCCTCCATTATGGGGGCTATACGAAACTCTGCTCACCAAGAAGGTACAAAGTAAAAATTCCAAGACCTGAAATTAATCGCTTAGATTGCTGTGCTTCAAAAAATGTTATATGCGAATGATGTTCTTGAAAGAAGTTAAACAATTAAACAAGTAGTGTTTTCAGACTTCGGTACAAATTTGAATTTGAAAAAAAAGTTACTTTTACTTAAGAAAGTCATAGCTTTATATTCAAGAGCTAAGGATGTTATTAAAAAGAACAACAAATCAGAGAATGATTAAAATAATTAAAGCCTGAAATAGTTTAAAGATACGCCATGCAAATTTGAGTCCAAAATTTGTTTTTTACTGCTGCCATAGTACCACAGTATCATTCATAGCAAGAGATACAAGTTACATTCAACGAAAGCTATTTTGACCAACAGGTGACCATTGGATGGTATTAGCAACTTAATTGTTACATAACTTGCCACTAATTTGCCGATCACTTATTTCCTTTTAGATTGTATTAATTCTTTTTATTCAAAAATGCATTCATGTTAATTCATTATGAACTGCAGTGCCTTAATGAAGTGGTAGAGAATTTTTTCGCCAGTCCTCGGGATGACATCGAATTAACAATGAGGTTATCACGACGTGATATGTACCCCAGGTTGCACATCGAACTAGCACCGATTTACCAAGATCTACATATTGAAGCTGCTCATTTTCAACAAGATGCAATAACACCATTTGCTGTTAGAAACAAAAATCGGCATTTTGATGATCTTCTACGAGTATGATATTTTATCTTAAAATTCATACAAATTAGTTCATATGAAAATAATGTAACTAACACGTCGTATATCGTGAAGAAAAGCATGAACTGATTGTAAATTGAAATGGAAAGGACTCTAGCAAAGTTTATCAGGTCCATTGTCTTGATTTGAATCTACAGATAAACCCGTTGGGAGCAGAGAGATTAAGAAAATATCCAATTTGGAGTAGATAGGATAATTACTCAAAATCCAAGTTCTACATTTCCTTTTTCAAATTTAAGGATTCCAATTTGAAATTTGAAATAATAGTAAATATTGCAGACAGAAGATTGGAATGATTATCTGCCATCAAGAGATCTTTCAATGCAATCCATGGAGAATAGAGTGTGTTTTAAAATTTTTGTACATAATTTAAAATCATTTGAAAATAAGTAAGTCTTGCTGTTTACATGCAATCTCATACTGCAGACAGATTCGTTTGAATTCTCTCTGTTAAATGCTTATTTTTGAATTTAATACCATTGAATCCCATTGAATTAGTAGTGTATTTTTCAGAGTGCTTCGATGTGTTGTGCACAATCTTCGGATGCAACAACCGCTCGATCACCAAGTTATGACTATCTCTCCTCCGCATACTCATATCTTGTTGCTTTTGTTAAGGTATCGCATACATTTTGATAGGATCGATCTTACTTATCGGTTAACCATCTAACTACGTTAGAACAACCAGCTCATCTCAAAGTTGAAGTATTCTCGTTTTTACGCACACATACCTGCGAAATAGAAGATTTGATTGACCTTTCAATTGGTATGTGCGATATTAACTGTATCATTTATTGTACGCACCTATGTGTAGTGCTACTGCTACTTCTACCATTCACTTCTCCCGAGAAACATTCTTACCTTCTTCTTCACTTATCAGTCAGTGGTACCGAATCGAAGTCAGACATCAACAAAGAGCAGCAATGATAATAAATGATGGTTTGCTAGCCTTCGGATGCTAATTTGATTTTATTTCAAAAAAACTTTATTATCACCGCAGAAATTTGTGTAACTGTAAATTTATGTAATTTATTTTCTATCATTAACGTTAAAGTGATGAATCATTTTGTTACATACATAAATAATCAATTGAATAAATCCAGTGGAGAAAGAGATTTGAAACAATTTCATTCTTTTGAGTTTGAAATATTAGAAATCTATAAATAGTATAGCTGAATAAAGGGAATAAAATGAAATTTATTTGGAAGAAATGAGAGAACCATTTAGATATTTGAGATAGTATTTGATCCATCACGTAGAACCAAGCGTTAAATTTAGATTGATGCCATCATATAATTTTATGAAGTCGAGGTTAAAGGTTACTTCGTTATTTCAAATTCTATTACCTATCGCATGTACAATATAAATCGTTAATGGTGTAAAAGGAATGACTGATTCAAGATAACAGTTAGTTTCCATGCACGGTGACCATTCCCAGAACAGGTTACATTTTCTTTGCTCTACGACATAAATTGTCATCAGTTATGGAGTAGCTTACAGTTTGGAAATCTCTTACTAAAGTACCGCTTGCACTATTATTCGTGTTTCTGATATACTTTCATCGAAACTTTCATCCCTTTTACTTCCCCGTTTGTCGCATATACACTTAAGATAAGCCAATTACGGTGAAAAACCGTCACACGTGAAAAATGAAGTGATACTTAACTGTGAGGAAAAGTAAGCAACGTTTAACATGTTTAACAGCAATATTTTAATCTGATTATTCAAATTTTCGGGATCTTTTTGAATATTTCGATCGACTTTTCGTCTTACAACGTGGACATATGGGAGCATTTCGATGGATGAGTTGTTCACAGGACTGACATTTCTGCAATTATTTAGCAAAAAGAAAGATGAAAAGAATGGCTAAATTGAACTGCCGCATGAATTCGTAAAGAATTACACTACTAAAAGAAAATTCTGACATTTGTGAAATCTCGTTAAATGAAATGTCAATATTTCAAAACTTTTTTTCAAAAGCTAAGGATGATGTCAATGCAGCTACTCACGAACCGATTGAAAACTGTTCTCTAGAAGTTCAACTTGGATATTTCTCCTATAGTAATGTCGAAATGATTAATTCCCAAAACAATTTAATCCAATTTTTCTTTGTCATCGATAAACATATACTGAATCATTGATTGTGATTTGATTCTGATAGTCGGGTGGGATGGTCATTTGATTAAATCCTTGCTTTGTTTGGTTAAGTCTAATCAGAGTTTCTTAACACAGTTTCAGTTCTTAGTTGTAACGACTTCAAAATTATTTAAAATTATGTTTTGGAAAAGTTCCTGAAAATATTACCTTCATCTTGGCTGGTTCACTTATAGCCGATATAATGCTGTTCATAGAAACAGTAGCTGTGGCTGTTACACCACCGGATGTATATAAAATTCGATCGGAAGCTTCCAGAATATGATTCCGATGCCGATTTAGCATTTCCAAGAATGAAAGGTGCGATAACTGATTCAAGACAAGCGGTGTCGTTAGAGCCAAATGATTTGCAGCACTGTTGTCGATCACTCTGAAGAATGTGACAAATTTATAAAACTGTAGTAAACAGCTATATGGATTAAGAAGTTAAAGTTTCCGTAATAGCTTATTTTCTAGCAAGTTAAATCCTGTCATCTGTTTCAGAATCCGGAATTTTCCAAAAAATATATTCCGCCAAGTGTATACTATTAAATTTATTTAACATAAAAAATTATGCTCCTTACTCATCAAATTGTGATGGGAAAAGCATTTCATTTGTCAGCAAATTTGTTTCCGAAATACCGCTTTCGCATAAAATCTCATTAGTGTGATTCAAATCCCGCTCAATCTCACGATACTTTTGCGCAATACTATCTTTTCTAGCATCATTTCCACTTTTCAAACTTTTGAAAGTATCTTCCAAATGATTTATATCCTGAAAGTACGATAACTACTTCATAAAATGGAATATAAAAGGTAAGAGCCATGAGTTCCATGAAATTCGAGAGTAATATCGGCTATCCAGTATGAAGACTTGTTTTATTGGACATATTTTTGACACTAATAACCTTAACAGTAAAGGTTCTTTAGCACTTCTGGCACAAATTATTGAAGATTTCAAAAGTTCACTTTGATAAATTTAAGACTTTGCTTTAAGAAATTTCGAGTTCATAATGCAAAGCAATGTCGCTCTCGAAATTAATTGGTGACACAAAACGAAACAAAATTTACGTCAAAGATAAGTCCATCGTGCCTTATATTATACTCATATGAGGGAAAAGTAAGAGTTTTAATTTGAAATCAAAACTTGCACACCTGATTAATTTGTCGCAACTCGTCAGCATGTGATCGACGTTCACCTTCCAGCTCGCCATTTAATTTTTCACACTGAGTAATAAATATGCAAATTCCTTGGAATTCATTGAGGGCAACATGTAATTCGTGCAACCTTCCGGTGAATTCGTTTACTTTTTGACTGCAACTCTTATCAATTAATTTATTCGCTTACTTATCTGATTACAAATTCAATTATTTTAATTAATTCCCACTTATTTCATTGATTACTCCATCCCAATTGTTCATTCGTCTTGTTAATTAATTAAGCAATTCAAAAATGTATTCAATGGTTATAAGTCTATTTGTTTGAATTTTCGCATCATTTAATCTTACGCAAGCAACATGTTTTGCAGTAATTTCATTCGTGAATTGTCAAGCACTTGAACCAATGACCTTTTTTTACAAAGAAAGTTTATAACTATTATGAAAGATGGATCTTAGAAGTGAAGCCACTCTTTTAGTCTTTCTCTCTTCCTCAAGAAAGTTTATAATCATTCTAAAAAGCTTTTGGAAACAAACCCATTCTCTCTCTCTCTCCCTCTCTCTCTCTCTCTCTCTCT